AGCCTGCTTCTCCCTCTCCCACTCCCCCTGCTTGTGTTCCCTCTCTCGCTGTGTCTCCCTCTGTCAAATAAATAAATAAAATCTTTAAAAAAAAAAAAAGTTTCTCCCCGTCCTGGCAGAATCTGAGTCCAAATAACTTTCGCGGTTGTCAGCAATGGGCACCATCGCTTGGACTCACTGCCCTCCCGCAACCAGCTCCGAGGCCACGAGGGGAGGGGAGCACAAGCTCCCCACATGGACGGCTGCCATCCGCGGCCTGCCTTTTGTTCACTCAGAGGCAGACAGCTGGGGAAGCAGCACCTGTGATCGTGAGCAGCCCTGCGAGCTACCCTGTTGACAGCCTGTCACAGGGAATCACCTCAGGCCACTGCACCCCCAAAGAGCTGCCCAGTGAACCAGCCTCGCCCCCTCAGGGCCCTCCGCACCCATTAATGGGCTGGTGCCAGCCTGGCCGCCTGCCCGTACAGCCCAGCTGGGCCACCTGCTGCAGCTGTGGGGGCCTGGGCTTGGGGAAATGCCTCCTCTCTCCCCTTCCCCCCAGGACGGAGGGCAGGGCGCCCCCCAGAGTATCCAAGAGAAACAGCTCCTCCCGCCCCCCACCCCCTTTCCCGGCCTTCCACACTCAGGAAGGCCTTCATTGTGCCAGAAGCCTTTTCACCCCTCACTGGCCCTGATCCTCATGCCAACCACGCAGGCGTCCACGGCTGGTTCTGCCCATTCCCCAGAGAAGGCTGAGATCCACACAAAGGAAGACAAGAGAAGTAAGGAGCACGTGGACAACTGGCCCTGGGAGTTCCTCGCCTGGCCTACAGCGGCATGAAGGGGCTTTGAGGAACACAGCCATTGGGGGGGGTCTCAGAGGCCCCTGATACTCGGGGCTTTCAGCCTGACAGGATCATGGCGTCGGTTCCCAGTAAGCCGCTTTCTTCTGTCAGGCCTGTGAAGAGTCTCCTCTGGATGTCCCAGAACTGCCTAACCAAGAGAGGCCACACTCTACTCCAGGGTCAGGCGTCCAGGACATCATCTGTGTCCCAGAGCTCCCTCTCCATAGGGGCACCAAGTTCCAAAGGCCCGGCTGGGGTGGGAGCCTGGCACACCTCAGAGCAAGGGGGCTGCTAAGGGCCTGGCCTGCCACGGCCTCACACTCGCTGGGCAACAAGTCCTCTGCAGACAGGCCTGGCCCCGAGACAGCTGAGCAGAGGCCATTTCCTGGGAATGCCACCCCCCCCAGTGGCCAGCCTTCCTCACTGCCTCTCTCCTCTTCCTCCTCCTCAGACTCCCTGGGAGGCCACCAGTCACCTCCTGTCCCCAGCCAAAAGACCCTCAGGGAAGAAAGTGGGAGGGAATCATCATCATAAAACAGCATAATTATTCACTCATTCATCAGACAAATAGTTCTTGAGGGTCTGCGCTGAGCCCGGCTCTGTGGTAGGTACACGGGATACAACCGTGAGTGATGTGGGCCCCATTCCTGTCCTCAGGGAGCTGGGAGTCCTGAGGGGGAGACAGTTGACTAACATGCACACAGACATGTAGCGGATATGGAACATGACGTTGGTGGCCACGTGGGTCATGAAGAGAAGCTGAGCCACATGGGGTGAGGAGTCAGGAGGTGCTGCTGTGGGTCACTGATCCAGAAGTTTCTCTGAGGCAGTCACCTGGGCGATCAGGATGCCACAAGGGCAGGATCCAGGCCAAGAGCTGAGAGGAGAGTGCTCCAGGCACAGGGAAGAGCAGAGGCTGAGATCCTGAAGCAGAAGCGGGCTTGTGAGGCAGAAGCAAGTGGACTGCTGGACTGACAGTCTCAGTTCTTGCCGGTTGCTGGCTGGAGGACAGTGTGGCCAGCCTCAGGGATGAGGGAAGGACATGGGGCTGGAGAGATAATGGGGGCCAGATCGGGCCTGACAGCCAAGGTAAGGATTCAGCTTTGACTCTGAGTGAGATGAAGAGCCACGAAACACTTTTGATCAGGGAAATGACATTACCTCGAGTATGTTTTTAAAGGATCGCAAAATATTTAAAAATTAATATTAGCAGCTAGCATTTATTAAGCACTCCAGTCTTACACTTGGCATTTTGACCACATTATCTTCTTTCATCCTTACAACCACCTTATGAAGTGATAGACCTGATTCTCTTGTCCTTGTTCCAAGACTGACAACTGAGGTTCAGAGGGGTGAAGCGATGTGCCCAAGGTCACACAGCTGCCAACTGTGAGCTCAAGGTGAGCCAGTCTGTCCCTCTCCAGAACTGTAGGGTTACTCTGGTCCAGGGGTTGGGAGGCCTGGCTTCCAATTCTGACTCGCACCCTCTGGCTGTTGTGGTTCCTGTCTGGTCCTGACATTGCCACAGCTCCAGCCTCCGTGACAGGGACATAACCTATCCTCCTCTGGGGGCTGCAGGGAGGACACTGAGCCAGGGTCCGGCCGGCGGTGCATGCACGGCAGATGGTCAACAGGTGTTAGTGCTCTAACACTCATCCCCAGAGCTTTGGGGGCTGTGTTCTAGGGACCTGGTGAAACACATCAGGTCAGTCCACCTTGGAAAGAGGAGGCACCCATTCTGCGACGACAAGGGAAGTGGCAGAGGCCCCCAGATTTAGGCAGGGGCTGGGTGGGACTGAGCAAGGTACAGAGTCAGCCTCGTCCTCTCCCAAGAGACTGTCGTCTTCCTCTTCAGCCAGTAAGGATGCACGAGAGAGAGAAGACCTCATCGCCTTATGGGAAACAACTAGCTCCTGCCAAGAGGCGTCCCCTCACAGCCCAGGTCAGAAACAACCCCCTGCCCAGGGGTCACAAAACCCGCAGCTCTACCAGGACAGCGGTCTTCCCTCACGTGCAGCAGTCGTCTGTCATTGCCCAGGTTCTCTTTATTCAGTTAGCCTCCTGGGACCCCAGAAATCCATAAACAGCAAATGACAACTATTTCCATGCTTTGACTTATCTTCTGATCCTCTGGGTGCACAAACATCCATTCCTACCTGTTTATATGAGCATACGAATCCTCTTGTGGAATTTGTTTCCATCTGATGCTATTCCAAACATGTAGGAAGAAACTTCGGAGGTTTCTGGCCCTCTTTTCGAAGAGCCATGTGGCCTACTGGTCAGAATGTAGGGTTGGGAGGTAGGCAGACATGGATTCAGATCCCAGACAGGCAAGCTGTGTGAACCTGGAAAAGCCATTTGACTTCTTCAGGCCCCAGTTTCCTCCACCTGTGGGGCAGAGACAAGAGTGTTCCTCTCACCGGGCCAGGAAAAGGTAAAAGAGGATAGGTAGTGTGTGCAACACTCCAGCCAAGTACCCTGCACAGACAATGGTTCATTTGCTGTCACCTTAGTCCTTACTGAGATATGCAGCAGGCTCAGAAACTTCCCTGTTTGAGATAATACTTGTAATATGCTATATTTATGGCTGTGTAACAAATTCCCCTAAAATGTAATGGTTTAAGTGAACACACATTTTATTATCTCACAGTTTCTGTGGGTTAGGAGTGTCACCACAGCTTACCTGGGTCTTCTGCTTCAGGGTCCCTTGAACCCTGCGGTCAAGGTGTGAGGCAAGGTTGAGGTCTCATCCGAATGCTCCACTGAGGAAGAATTCACTTGGAAGCTCAGGTGGCTGTTGGCAGGGTCAATGGCTCAGGGGCTACTGGACTGACAGCCTCAGTTCTTGCCGGTTGCTGGCTGGAGGCTGCCCTCAATTTCTTGCATGTGAACCTCTCCAATATAGCACCCTGCTTCCTCGAAGCATGTGAGCCAAGAAGGCAATGCAGTTGGCTAGCAAGACAGAAGTCACCGTCTTAAGTACCTGAATCACAGAAGTGACATCTCATCACCCTTGCCATATCCTACTGGCTAGAAACAAGTCTCCAGGTCCTTCCACACTCAGTTGGAGAGCATAAATACCGAGAGGCAGGAGTCTCCAGGGATCACTTTAGAGTCTACACTACACAGCAAAGTTCTGTTCAGCTACCATTTTCTGGTGCCTTTTATGTACCAGGCTCTGTCCTGGAGCCGGGAATTTAAAAAGTGGATAAGTCAGGGATTCTATCTCCCAGGAACTTCTGTGAGGTGTTTTCTGCTTCAGGCTCTTAATCATTTTTCACTGCTGCGAACACTTTGGGACCTGTGTAGTATCTCTGTTGAGGGGAGGAGGGCAACTACTCACTCCATAATGTGAATGAGTTAACTAGACCCTTTTCCTCCATCCCAGGCTGGTCAGAGAAAAGACACACCACACACACACACACACACACACAGAGTGAGCTAGCTCTGGAGGGCAGTTGCAGAGAGTAGTGGTCACTGTGCTGCTATGGGAATGAAGGGAATGAGACCAGCCCCTTCTCTGGGGAAGCACACCAGGTGATGGGAAGCAAAGAGGTAAACTCAGATCACAGCAGAGGCCAGACCCACAAGAGAGAGTTGACATCGCAGTCCCCCTTAAAGAAAAAGATTATAGCCAATGACTGAGAAGCTGAGCCAAACTTTGCCCTATACTTAGTGGGCAATGGTGGCTTGATCTCAAAGCAACTGGAGTTTTCTTCCCCAACACAACACCTCTTCCCCCACTCTGACTCCACCTCGTGGATGCCAGAGAGGCTTGTTACAGGGAGGCAACAACTTCTAGCCTTCATGAAAAAGCAGCTCCTTTTGTTCGAGAAACCTTATCTTCCCTGGCTAACCACGAGGGCCTGGTCGTCACAGACTCTAACTCCTCTTGGCCATGGGGGTGGACTTGGTACCCAAGCTGGATCAATCTCCCATTCCCCAGTCCATAAAATATATGACCCAATCCAAGCTAATCAGCCCTTCTCTGGCATTTTTTCCTAGGTGAAGCTGACAGGGAAGAGACTATTGTCCCAGTTAATCAGGAAGCAGCTATGGTAACCATGTTTTCAGCCATATGGGGGGAAAAAAGGAAAAGATGGAGCCCAATGTACACAGAGACAAAACAAAAAAAGAGAGAGAGAGAGATACCAGCCAGCATCACATCTCTGGTTCCCATCTTCAAGCTTGACTTGAAAATCTTCTTATTTTGGGATGCCTGGGTGGCTCAGTCTGTTAAGCAGTTGCCTTCAGCTCAGGTCATGATCTCAGGGTCCTGGGATCGAGTCCCGCATCGGGCTCCCTGCTCAGTGGGGAGCCTGCTTCTCCCTCTCCCTCTTCTTGTGCTCTCTCTGTCAAATAAAGAAAATATTTTTAAAAAAAGAAAGAAAGAAAATCTTCTCATTTAGAATCTTTTTATTTTTCTTGAAATAATTCAAATTGGGTTTCTGTCACACTCCAACCACAGGGTCCTGAACTACAAGTCTACAGTTTTATGGTTGGAATTCAAGCTAAAGCTCCAAATCTTCCTGGGAGATGTGATCCAGAGGTCCAAATTCTTACTAAAGTATAAATGACTAAGATCCTTTCTTGAGAGAAGGCTGTGATTATGGGCTTATTTGAAAATACACAGGGCTTTATAAGGTTAAAAGTAGAGACAGTCAATGGGCGCCTGGGTGGCTCAGTTGGTTAAGCGACTGCCTTCGGCTCAGGTCATGATCCTGGAGTCCCTGGATCGAGTCCCGCATCGGGCTCCCTGCTCGGCAGGGAGCCTGCTTCTGCCTCTGACCCTCCCCCCTCTCATGTGCTCTCTCTCTCTCATTCTCTCTGTCTCAAATAAATAAATTAAAAAAATCTTAAAAAAAATTTTTAAAAAGTAGAGACAGTCAAGACATCTTCACCATATTTACATGTAAAAAGAGCTCATGATTCAAATTCAGAAAACCTGCATTTGAGTCCAGGCTCTACCACTAACTGGCAACTTACTTCACTTCTCTGGGCCTCAATTTCTCCACCTGCAAAATGGGAGTAAGAATGTTTCTGTGCCTGGGTGTTATATGAAAACAATGAATCGTGGATCACTACATCAAAAACTAATGATGTATTGTATGGTGACTAATATAATTAAATTAAATTAAATTTTAAAAAAAAGAATGTTTCTGTTCTTCCTAGCTTAGGAAGTTGTCATGTGGAAAAATATCAACATTATATTGTTTCCCTGTAGCCAACATCCCTGGATGTGTTATATTAAATACATCTTAACACTATATTTGGGTAAATGCCAATGAACAGGAATGTAAATAACATCTCTCCAGTAGGGCTCAGCACCTGAGGATAAGAGTGGATGAGAAAAGCTTAAAACAGCATCAAGGAGTAGATGTCCATCTAAGAGCAATGGTGTTAGTCTGGACTCTCAGTTGGTATAGCTCTCATAGATACATTTCCATCATTTCTTTTCAAGTTAATTTCTAAATTGTATCTCTCTTTTCATTTTTTTTTAAAATTAACATTGGGGCACCTGGGTGTCTCAGTCAGTTAAGCATCTGACTCTTGACTTCAGCTCAGATCATGATCTCAGGGTCCTGAGATGGAGCCCCAATTTGGGCTCTGCACTGAGCATGGAGCCTGCTTAAGATTCTCCCTCTCCCTCTGCCCCTGTTCCTACTCTCTAAATAAATAAGTAGATAAACAAAAGCTTTTAAAAATTTAACATGCACATAAAAAAAAATTCAAACAAGAGAGAAGCATAAAACTAAAACAATCCGCTTCAGCTCTCTACTGCAGCCTTTTCATCCAGATGTCAACATTTATTTCCACATATGGATCTTACCAAATAGCAGTCGGTTTCATATTTTTTGATGTTGTTTTAGTTACAGTTTAGTTACAGTTTTACATGTCAGCACATAAGGGTTTTTTGTTTTATTTTGTTTTTAAGATTAGAATCCTTCTAGTTACCAATGTGCTGGATTTGCTGGATCTGGCATCCAGGACAGGGTTCAAAAAATAATGTCAAAGGGAAGACAGAAACAAGGGGAAGGGGGATATAAACGAGGAGTCAGGGAAGGGGGAAGGATGATAGAAAGAAAAAGAAGAGTGGTAGGAAGAGGGAGGGAAGAGAGAAAGAGAGGAAAGGAAGAGAGGAGAGAAAGAAAGAGAGAGAGGAGGGAGGAAGGAAGGAAGGGAGGGAGGAAAGAGAAAGGAACAGAGGGGAAGGGAGGGAGGGAGAGACGGAAAGACTGGCAGACAGACAGAAACAGAGGAAGAGAGAGGGAGGGAGAGACAGACAATGAGACAGAGACAGAGAGAGAGGAAGGGAAGGAGAGACAGACAGAGCGGGAGGGAAGGAGAGCCAAACAGACAATCAGACCAACAGAGAGAGAGAAAAGGAAAGAAAGGAAGGAGGGAAGAAAGACAGAGAGGGAAGGGAGGAAGAGAGTGGAGAAGAGGGAAAGAAAGAGAAAAAGGAGAGCAAGGGAGAGAGAGAGAGAGAGGAGAGAGAAGAGAGGCAAGAGAGATTCTGAGCAGTGGACCCCGCCCCCGGCCCGGACTCCGCCCCCGGCCCGCGGCCTGCAGCGCCACCTCCAGCCGCCAGGGGCCGCCA